CCTTTTGAATGATATTAAAAAAAATTCCGTCAAAAATGGCTAGTTAAAAAGTCGAAATTTGTCTGAAGAAAAAAAAACCCACCCCGAGCACAAATATTCCGTTACTTTCGTATCAAAAGTCGGAACAATAATCAATATCGCAAGTCCACGTTTCTGATTGTGCTATCATTTTCGGGTTAAAGTTCAAGATTTTCAAGTAAGTTTCATAATAGTGCGACCACAAGGAACTTATATTAAGATAGAGAATTGTGAAGCTTCCGCTTTTAATCGTTTCCGATGGCATGGGTGTTATTAAAAATTTTAGCAGTAGCCTTAGGAGAAACATTCATATTCAACTTTTTTAACACTTCATTTAAACCAGAGAATTGATCGCATGATCGCTCTTTCTTTAAAGTGCTTCAGGGTATCTTCGCTGTAAACAGGAATTGCTGATATCATTCAATTTTCTTCAGCAGAAAACATTGATCTGACAATTATTCGTTGTTGTAATTAAAACCATAACCGGTGCTTTTTTTGTGGTTCGCGTTGATGTTTCAGTAGTTTCTCTTTCAAAAAAATAGGTTTGTTGTTAAAAGGTTTTCGCTTCAATGCAATCATTGAATGTCAGGCATATATTCGTCCTTGTTTTCGAAATATAAAAATTGCTATTGAAGTTAGCTTGTGATTTTCTTCCTTTTCCCAATGAACGACCTGCATTGAGATCGTTTGAGTTGAGCAAACGTTTTAGATAGTTATGAAAGAAGTCGCAACTCTTCTCTTAAGGTTCTGGCTCTTAACTTAGGCTTTTTTCCAAAAAGATGGAACCCTTGGCGCTGTACTTTTCCTGCTCGCTCATTTGCAATTCAAAGTTCGTTACAGGTTTCGATTTCCTAACTTCCAAGCTTCAATAGTGAGTGTCTTCGGTTGCAAATCTTTCACAATACACTTTAGAATTTGTTTCAGGCCTTCATCTCACAGTATGTGGCTTCAATCAATTCCTTCATATCAGTGACTCATTTAAGCCATATATTTAATAAGTTTACACAGAGGCAAAAATGCACTTCGCATACACAAGCAAAAATATGACCGGTAACGCTACTGGGAAACACTGAATGAGTAAAACTTTGAGTCTACATAATTTCTAAGTGACGCAAGCATTTTATGACGCATTAACAGTACCAGTCAACTAAAAAAAATTAAATATACCAAATAACACGCCTCAATTTATAGAAAGGACGCATTTCAATAACTATACGAAAAAGCCCATTAAAACATCAAACCCTGCCCAAGTTCGAATCCTCTTATTTTGTTGCGGGTCTCCTTCCCTATCTATACGCTACAGATCCATGATACCTTGAAGCTAAAGTGCTATTTGTAATATATCAGTATGTGTTACTATCCTTTCCTTAGCATTGGCTGTACTTAATAGCTGGATCAAAATGAACACATTTTGTCGCAAAAATTGCATCGCAACAATATTTGCGACTTAGGTTGGAAAAAAAAGTTCATATTATAACACAAGCTATGGATCAGCTAAAGCTACTAGTGGATCAGCTAAAGCTGGAGGTATCTGTTCGAAACTTTTTGAATTTGTTGTACTGATGACGAAGTAGGTAATTTAAAAAACTTAAATATTGGGTTTCACCCAAAACTGTAGTTGTTCGTAAAAAATCAGTGAACAATTTTGTAATTTTGGAGTTTTCCCAGAAACATGTTGATTGTTCAAACTTTCATGCGGAGCAGTTTATGCACGAAACCTTCTGACAACCTGTTGCCTTGATGAAACCTTTGATATCAGATTGAGATTTTATCGAGAAGTAAACGTTTAGAGAAACGGACAAGCAATCAAAGTTTTGACTTTTCGACTTTTCTCAAAGCTGTTAGACTGTTAGAAAAATTGAACGTGAGCGCTTACACTGCCGAGCTTCTCTCAACCATTTGTTTTTTTATTAAATTCAAAATTTCAGGTTTGGGATGGTAGTTTTCAAGACAATTAGAAGAAAAACTGTCAAAAAGAGTTTTTTGACTTTTAAAAACTGGGTTAAAAAATTTGACATATCCGAGGGTCATAAGTATTTGTGTAAAAAAGTTGGGCGTAACAGCCTATGAAGTGGAGCTTCCCATAACCCGTTATTTACACTGAAAGCAAAATCTCAAATTCGGTGGGGTTATTTTTGAGAAAAATCAACAAGATTCAGAAAACAGTCAAAAATTCGACTTTTCCAAGTGTCATAACTTTTTGTTTAAAAGAATTTGGGCATAACCATTTTTCAGGGCAGCTTCTCACAACTTGTTCTACCTATTAAAACCAAATCTTTTGATTTTGGGAAGGTCGTTTTCGAGAAAATTTGAAAAGTTTCAAAAAACCGTCAAAAACTCATTTTTCTGAAGTTCATAACTTTTTGTGTGCTAAAATTTGAGGGTAACCACTAATGCAGGGGAGCTCCCCATAAGCCGTCCGTTCGGTTTAAACTAGAATCTCAGATTTGGGAGTGGTAGTTTTTTAGAAAAGTCTGAAAGGTTAAAAAATGGTTTAAAAAAATCAAAAAATTACTATTTTGAGGGCCATAACTTTTTGTGTAACCAGTTTGGTCGTAGCCGCTCATGCAGGGGAGCTTTCTACAAACTTTTTTATCCATTCACTCCAAAATCTCAGATTTGGTTCGGTAGTTTTTAAGAAAATAAAAAATTTTGGGTAAAAATTCTCCCACACACTTTTTGAAGACTGTAGAAAATGGGGTTATGCAGGCAAGGACAAATGGCCGGAATTCTTATTGGTACAACTTTTTTTGAAAATTGATAGAAAAAATTTTGAGAAAAACGAAATGATTCCAAAGCTTCTCAAAAAATAAAAAGAAAAAAAACCCGATTCCATTTGTTTTTTAATACTTGTTTTCATCAAACTAGAGGCCAGTTAGGGCTGGAAATACCTATTTTATAGTTTTGAATTAAATTTTTGATGTGGAAGGACAAAGGTAATTTCAAAAACATACCTATAGCTAAAAAATTAAATCCCAATTTAATGACTTCAAAATCTGTTAGTTTCATTTATTACTTAAGTTTTTGTAAAAAACCGAAGCGATTCCAAAAACGTGTTAGGTGAAAGAAGCTTTAAGCGTTGCTCATTAGATTTGGGTGGGTAGTTTTTGAAAAGTCAAAAAGTTTCATAAAACGTGAATGAAAAAAATCGATTATTTGATTTTTCCGAGTCATAATGTTTTGTCTAAAACAGAGGTGCTTCTCACAATTCATTCCTCACACTAAAAACAATACCTCAGATTTGGGCGGGTACTTTTGAGAAGAATCGAAAAATTTCAAAAAATCAGTTAAAAAAATAAGAATTTGATTTTTCTGAGGGTCATAACTTTTTGTGTAAGAAAATTGGAAGTAAGTATTTATACAGTGGAACTTCCGACAACCCGTTCTTCACACTGAAACCAATATCTTAGATTTTGGAGTGCTTTTCAAGAAAAGTCAAAAAATTTGAAAAAACGGTTTAAAAAAATGGAAAACTTGATTTTTCAGAGACTCATAACTTTTTATGTAAATAAAAATTAGGCGCAATCATTAAAGCGGCGGAGATTCCCACAACCCATTCGACTCATTGAAACCAGAATTTCAAATTTGGATGTTTTTTTTTCTTGAAAAACTTGAGAGATTTGAAAAAATGGTCAAAACTTTTTAAATTTGACTCTTCTGAGGGTCATAACTTCTTGTGTGAAAAGTTTGAGCATAAATAACTGCTAAAACACGGATATTCGCCACAACCCGTCAGTTTGATTGAATTTAAAACCTCAGACTTGGGTGGATACTTTCCGAGAAAATTCGAAAAATTTCAAAAATGTGGGTCAAAAATTTCACCACACCATTTTGCGAAGGCTGCAGAAAGTGGGGAAAAGTAAAAAAAAAAGAGACTAGGGGAGTATGCAGGCACACCGACGAGTGGCCGAACTTTCCATTCGTACCACTCTTTTGAAAACCGGCAAAGTAGTTTTCGAGAAAAACGAATATTTTCCGAAGTGTCTCAAAAAAACCCGATCACATTGATTTTCACAATACCTGTTATTATCAAACAGAAATTTGTAATAATATCTGTGTTAATATCCATAGCATTGGCTGTACTTAATAGCTAGTTTTTGATTAAAATGAACATTTTTAAAATGAACACATTGTCGCAACAATATTTGCTACTTATTTTGGAAAAAAAGAGAGTTCATACTATAACAAAACTATGCTTGTGTAATCACAACAATTCGGCAGAAAATGTAACCACTAATGGAGGAAAAATGCAAAACTCACAGAAATTTCATAATTTGTCTCGAATGATGTTCAATTTGAGAACAAACACGTCAATTTGAGAACAAACCGTTTTTTTCCGTGAATACGAACTTTTAAAATTATTTTCGCAATCCAAAGTACGATTAAAAATGATTCAAAAGAAACTCACTCTGTACCATAGTTTCCATTAAAATCAACTTTCGATAGAATCGCTCACATTTTTCGTGAATTTTATATTTTTCTTTTTGGTAAGGGAGCTTGTTTTTCTTTCACTAAAGGAAATGATCTAATTAAAAATGAGTCAGTAAAAACAAAACTGTTTAAATTGGACTAAAACACATGCTCTAGAAATTAAGCCAATAAAACCCTATCAGATAAAAACTGCGGTTTCAAAAAAAAAGGAAATCGAACCGGCAGAGTTCAAGACAACTACGCACCAGAAATTTTTTTTTAAATTACTTACAACCTGAAACGGGCTTTACACCTAGTTACTACTTAAACTATAGTAGTTTTGTTTCATTTTTCAAGAAATTGAGGAAGATGAAGGAGTTCAGGATATGAAATGAGTCCTGTAAACAAAGTTATTTACGGGGAAAAAGTCTAGTACCGACCCTTGCTTATCGCAAGGGTAAAAAAAACAGCCATAAAATTCTTGAGTTTTCCCTGGAAATAAAAAAATTGAGATTAAATTATTCAGCTGCCTTCAATCCAAAAGAACAAAACGAAGTTTAATTTGATGCACATACAATATCAAAACTCAGCAAACAAGTGAATACATATCGGTTCAGTCACATGTAAAAATAGTCTAAACATAAAATTCCATCCAAACTACGAGTTTCTTTTCTTTTTATCTCGGTGGCGGGGGAGGCGGTGGTGCTCCGTAGGGGTTCTGATGACGGTGTCCCCCTCCTCCCATCGGTGGAGGTGGTGGGGGAGCCATGCCGTTGTTCATGGGAGGTGGTCCCCAGTGTCCTCTAGGCGGGGCTCCGTTGGGTGGGGGCATCACTCCATGTTGTGGAGGAGGTCCCCCCATGAGATGTGGTCCTCCGTAAGGGGGTCCTGGTGGTGGGTATCCGTATCCATGCGGAGGACCTAAGCATTCATAAGTTTCACCAAATTTTAACATTTTCGTCAATAGTTTAAATTTATCATAAAATTTCAGTATAACTAATCTCAGAACTTTTAATGAAGATACTTCTGAGCCATAAAATAGCTTTTTATTAGGAAAAGGCAATTGGATACTCCACACAGAGGCGAAATTGCACTTCGCATACAAAAGCAAAAATATGACCGATAATGCTACTGGGAAAAACTGAAGAGTTAAATTTGAGTCTACCAAATTTCATAAGTGACGCTCGCCAATTATGAGTCTACATAATTGCTAAGTGACGCAAACCAATTATGACGCATTAGCAGTACCAGTCATTTTGAAAAAAAAAGACATTTACCAACTAACATGCCTCAATTTATAGAGCGGACGCTTTTTAACTAGTATACAAAAAAATTCATTTAAAACATCCGACCCTACCCAGGTTCGAATCTTTTTATTTTGCTGCTGGTCTCCTTCCCTACCTCTACGCTACATATCCATGATGCCTTGAAGCTAAAGTGCTATTTGTAATATAGTAGTCTGTTTTAAAATCCTTAGCATTGGCTTTACTTAATAGCTGGATCAAAATGATCACTTTCAAAATGAACACATTTTGTCGCAACAATATTTGCGACTTAGGTTGGAAAAAAAAAGAAAGTTCACACTATAACACAAGCTATGCTTGTGTAAACATACGGGGTACTTCTATATTATACCTGGAGGTGGTGGTCCCATGTATCCAGGAGGCGGCGGTCCTGGTGGTGGACCATGACCGTATGGTCCAGGAGGAGGTGGGGGTCCCCACGCACCTGGAGGTGGTGGTCCTCGGAATCCCGGGGGTGGAGGTCCTCCCATACCTGGGGGAGGAGGTGGTCCCCATGCACTTGGGTGAGGGGTGCTCCTGGTCTGTATCCACCTGGTCTAGGACCACTTGGTGGGGGAGGGTTATCTTGCTGAAAAAGTGGAAAGCAATGAATGCGCCGAAATTGAGTCCTCATTTGACAAATTAGTCAATATAATTACAATTACTCCTATTTTCGAATCTCTTTCTTTCTCTGTATATTGTTAGCGCACTTTTTGGCTAGGAATTTATAAATCATTGAGCTTTTGTACGAACTAGATATTGGGACTGCCTATAAAACAATATATACAAAATGTAATTACACGAAATGTGAGTTGTCCTTAAATTTGAAATAATGCTTAAATGTTTTCCTTACTTTTTCCACAATATAACTTTCTTTACTTTTTCCAGTGTTCAGAAGCGTTATAACTCACCGTTTCTTACCTCTTCAAACTTGTTTATTACAGGAGCTTAATCATAAGCAAGCTTTTCAGGACATGTTCAAACCTTGATATTGCTGGTATTTATGTCTGCGCCCACTGGTTTTGGAGTGGACTCTCCCAGTTCCTCCATGAGTGACAAGTACTCGCTGTCCATCTTCACCTTGTCCCTCACAGGTACTATCGCTTCACTCCCAGGAGGCATCGCCGACAGATCTGTTAAAAAAAATTTCATATGTTTTACCCTTTTATGCATCGTAAAGGAGACAAAGAAGTCTTTCATATTCACAAAAGTTAATAAAGCACGTAAATGAATCCTTATGAAAACAACTACTGAATTTTTATAAAGCAAGAAAAAAATAGCATAAAAAACAGCAAGAAATAGATTCGTACCGTAAGAATCGTTCATACAGTTTGAACTTCGCATCCCGCGCAATAACACAAACATAAGGCATTGCAAATTAACAGACAGAAAATGTAACCACTAATGGAGGAAAATGCAAAACTCACAGAAATTTCATAATTTGTCTCGAATGATGTTCAATTTGAGAACAAACACGTCAATTTGAGAACAAACCGTTTTTTTCCGTGAATACGAACTTTTAAAATTATTTTCGCAATCCAAAGTACGATTAAAATTGATTTAAAAGAAACTCACTCTGTACCATAGTTTCCATTAAAATCAACTTTCGATAGAATCGCTCACATTTTTCGTGAATTCTATATTTTTCTTTTTGGTAAGGGAGCTTGTTTTCCTTTCACTAAAGGAAATAATCTAATTAAAAATGAGTCAGTAAAAACAAAACTGTTTAAATTGGACTAAAACACATGCTCTAGAAATTAAGCCAATAAAACCCTATCAGATAAAAACTGCGGTTTCAAAAAAAAAGGAAATCGAACCGGCAGAGTTCAAGACAACTACGGACCAGAAAATTTTTTTTGAAAATTAATTACAACCTGAAACGGGCTTTATACCTAGTTACTACTTAAACTATAGTAGTTTTGTTTCATTTTTCAAGAAATTGAGGAAGATGAAGGAGTTCAGGAGATGAAATGAGTCCTGTAAACAAAGTTATTTACGGGGGAAAAGTCTAGTACCGACCCTTGCTTATCGCAAGGGTAAAAAAAACAAGCCATAAAATTCTTGAGTTTTCCCTGGAAATAAAAAAATTGAGATTAAATTATTCAGCTGCCTTCAATTCAAAAGAACAATACGAAGTTTAATTTGATGCACATACAATATCAAAACTCAGCAAACAAGTGAATACATATAGGTTCAGTCACATGTAAAAATAGTCTATACATAAAATTCCATCCAAACTACGATTTTCTTTTCTTTTTATCTCGGTGGCGGGGGAGGGGGTGGTGCTCCGTAGGGGTTCTGATGATGGGGTCCCCCGCCTCTCATCGGTGGAGGTGGTGGGGGAGCCATGCCGTTGTTCATGGGAGGTGGTCCCCAATGTCCTCTAGGCGGGGCTCCGTTGGGTGGGGGCATCACTCCATGTGGTGGAGGAGGTCCACCCATGTGATATGGTCCTCCATAAGGGGGTCCTGGTGGTGGGTATCCGTATCCATGCGGAGGACCTAAGCATTCATAAGTGTCACCAAATTTTAACATTTTCGTCAATAGTTTAAATTTATCATAAAAATTCAGTATTACTTATCTCAGAACTTTTAATGAAGATACTTCTGAGCCATAAAATAGCTTTTTATTAGGAAAAGGCAATTGGATACTCCACACAGAGGCGAAATTGCACTTCGCATACAAAAGCAAAAATATGACCGATAACGCTACTGGGAAAAACTGAAGAGTAAAACTTTGAGTCTACCAAATTTCATAAGTGACGCTCGCCAATTATGAGTCTACCTAATTGCTAAGTGACGCAAACCAATTATGACGCATTAGCAGTACCAGTCATTTTGAAAAAAAAAGAAATTTACCAACTAACATGCCTCAATTTATAGAGCTGACGCTTTTTAACTAGTTTACGAAAAAATTCATTTAAAATATCCGACCCTACCCAGGTTCGAATCCTTTTATTTTGCTGCTGGTCTCCTTCCCTACCTCTACGCTACATATTCATGATGCCTTGAGGCTAAAGTGCTATTTGTAATATAATAGTCTGTTTTAAAATCCTTAGCATTGGCTTTACTTAATAGCTGGATCAAAATGATCACTTTTAAAATGAACACATTTTGTCGCAACAATATTTGCGACTTAGGTTGGAAAAAAAAGAAAGTTCACACTATAACACAAGCTATGCTTTTGTAAACATACGGGGTACTTCTATATTATACCTGGAGGTGGTGGTCCTATGTATCCAGGAGGCGGCGGTCCTGGTGGTGGACCATGACCGTATGGTCCAGGAGGAGGTGGGGGTCCCCACGCACCTGGAGGTGGTGGTCCTCGGAATCCCGGGGGTGGCGGTCCTCCCATACCTGGGGGAGGAGGTGGTCCCCATGCACTTGGGTGAGGGGGTGCTCCTGGTCTGTATCCACCTGGTCTAGGACCACTTGGTGGGGGAGTGTTCTCTTGCTGAAAAAGTGGAAAGCAATGAATGCGCCGAAATTGAGTCCTCATTTGACAAATTAGTCAATTTAATAACAATTACTCCTATTTTCGAATCTTTTTCTTTCTCTGTATATTGTTAGCGCACTTTTTGGCTAGGAATTTATAAATCATTGAGCTTTTGTACGAACTAGATATTGGGACTGCCTATAAAACAATATATACGAAATGTAATTACACGAAATGTGAGTTGTCCTTAAATTTGAAATAAATGCTTAAATGTTTTCCTTACTTTTTCCACAATATAACTTTCTTTACTTTTTCCAGTGTTCAGAAGCGTTATAACTCACCGTTTCTCACCTCTTCAAACTTGTTTATTACAGGAGCTTAATCATAAGCAAGCTTTTCAGGACATGTTCGAACCTTGATATTGCTGGTGTTTATGTCTGCGCCCACTGGTTTCGGAGTGGACTCTCCCAGTTCCTCCATGAGTGACAAGTACTCGCTGTCCATCTTCAACTTGTCCCTCACAGGTACTATCGCTTCACTCCCAGGAGGCATCGCCGACAGATCTCTGTTAAAAAAAATTTCATATGTTTTACCCTTTTATGAATCGTAAAGGAGACAAAGAAGTCTTTCATATTCACAAAAGTTAATAAAGCACGTAAATGAATCCTTATGAAAACAACTACTGAATTTTTATAAAGCAAGAAAAAAATAGCATAAAAAACAGCAAGAAATAGATTCGTACCGTAAGAATCGTTCATACAGTTTGAACTTCGCATCCCGTGCAATAACACAAACATAAGGCATTGCAAATTAACAGACAGAAAATGTAACCACTAATGGAGGAAAAATGCAAAACTCACAGAAATTTCATAATTTGTCTCGAATGATGTTCAATTTGAGAACAAACACGTCAATTTGAGAACAAACTGTGTTTTTTTCCGTGAATACGAACTTTTAAAATTATTTTCGCAATCCAAAGTACGATTAAAATTGATTTAAAAGAAACTCACTCTGTACCATAGTTTCTATTAAAATCAACTTTCGATAGAATCGCTCACATTTTTCGTGAATTTTATATTTTTCTTTTTGGTAAGGGAGCTTGTTTTTCTTTCACTAAAGGAAATGATCTAATTAAAAATGAGTCAGTAAAAACAAAACTGTTTAAATTGGACTAAAACACATGCTCTAGAAATTAAGCCAATAAAACCCTATCAGATAAAAACTGCGGTTTCAAAAAAAAAGGAAATCGAACCGGCAGAGTTCAAGACAACTAACTACGGACCAGAAAATTTATTTTAAAAATTAATTACAACCTGAAACGGGCTTTACACCTAGTTACTACTTAAACTATAGTAGTTTTGTTTCATTTTTCAAGAAATTGAGGAAGATGAAGGAGTTCAGGAGATGAAATGAGTCCTGTAAACAAAGTTATTTACGGGGGAAAAGTCTAGTACCGACCCTTGCTTATCGCAAGGGTAAAAAAAAACAAGCCATAAAATTCTTGAGTTTTCCCTGGAAATAAAAAAATTGAGATTGAATTATTCAGCTGCCTTCAATCCAAAAGAACAATACGAAGTTTAATTTGATGCACATACAATATCAAAACTCAGCAAACAAGTGAATACATATCGGTTCAGTCACATGTAAAAATAGTCTATACATAAAATTCCATCCAAACTACGAGTTTCTTTTCTTTTTATCTCGGTGGCGGAGGAGGCGGTGGTGCTCCGTAGGGGTTCTGATGATGGGGTCCCCCTCCTCCCATCGGTGGAGGTGGTGGGGGAGCCATGCCGTTGTTCATGGGAGGTGGTCCCCAATGTCCTCTAGGCGGGGCTCCGTTGGGTGGGGGCATCACTCCATGTGGTGGAGGAGGTCCCCCCATGTGATATGGTCCTCCATAAGGGGGTCCTGGTGGTGGGTATCCGTATCCATGCGGAGGACCTAAGCATTCATAAGTGTCACCAAATTTTAACATTTTCGTCAATAGTTTAAATTTATCATAAAAATTCAGTATTACTTATCTCAGAACTTTTAATGAAGATACTTCTGAGCCATAAAATAGCTTTTTATTAGGAAAAGGCAATTGGATACTCCACACAGAGGCGAAATTGCACTTCGCATACAAAAGCAAAAATATGACCGATAACGCTACTGGGAAAAACTGAAGAGAAACTTTGAGTCTACCAAATTTCATAAGTGACGCTCGCCAACTATGAGTCTACATAATTGCTAAGTGACGCAAACCAATTATGACGCAATAGCAGTACCAGTCATTTTGAAAAAAAAAGACATTTACCAACTAACATGCCTCAATTTATAGAGCGGACGCTTTTTAACTAGTATACGAAAAAATTCATTTAAAACATCCGACCCTACCCAGGTTCGAATCTTTTTAATTTGCTGCTGGTCTCCTTCCCTACCTCTACGCTACATATCCATGATGCCTTGAAGCTAAAGTGCTATTTGTAATATAGTAGTCTGTTTTAAAATCCTTAGCATTGGCTTTACTTAAAAGCTGGATCAAAATGATCACTTTCAAAATGAACACATTTTGTCGCAACAATATTTGCGACTTAGGTTGGAAAAAAAAGAAAGTTCACACTATAACACAAGCTATGCTTGTGTAAACATACGGGGTACTTCTATATTATACCTGGAGGTGGTGGTCCTATGTATCCAGGAGGCGGCGGTCCTGGTGGTGGACCATGACCGTATGGTCCAGGAGGAGGTGGGGGTCCCCACGCACCTGGAGGTGGTGGTCCTCGGAATCCCGGGGGTGGCGGTCCTCCCATACCTGGGGGAGGATTTGGTCCCCATGCACTTGGGTGAGGGGGTGCTCCTGGTCTGTATCCACCTGGTCTAGGACCACTTGGTGGGGGAGTGTTCTCTTGCTGAAAAAGTGGAAAGCAATGAATGCGCCGAAATTGAGTCCTCATTTGACAAATTAGTCAATATAATTACAATTACTCCTATTTTCGAATCTTTTTCTTTCTCTGTATATTGTTAGCGCACTTTTTGGCTAGGAATTTATAAATCATTGAGCTTTTGTACGAACTAGATATTGGGACTGCCTATAAAACAATATATACGAAATGTAATTACACGAAATGTGAGTTGTCCTTAAATTTGAAATAAATGCTTAAATGTTTTCCTTACTTTTTCCACAATATAACTTTCTTTACTTTTTCCAGTGTTCAGAAGCGTTATAACTCACCGTTTCTCACCTCTTCAAACTTGTTTATTACAGGAGCTTAATCATAAGCAAGCTTTTCAGGACATGTTCGAACCTTGATATTGCTGGTGTTTATGTCTGCACCCACTGGTTTCGGAGTGGACTCTCCCAGTTCCTCCATGAGTGACAAGTACTCGCTGTCCATCTTCAACTTGTCCCTCACAGGTACTATCGCTTCACTCCCAGGAGGCATCGCCGACAGATCTCTGTTAAAAAAAATTTCATACAGTTTGAACTTCGCATCCCGTGCAATAACACAAACATAAGGCATTGCAAATTAACAGACAGAAAATGTAACCACTAATGGAGGAAAAATGCAAAACTCACAGAAATTTCATAATTTGTCTCGAATGATGTTCAATTTGAGAACAAACACGTCAATTTGAGAACAAACCGTTTTTTTCCGTGAATACGAACTTTTAAAATTATTTTCGCAATCCAAAGTACGATTAAAATTGATTTAAAAGAAACTCAATCTGTACCATAGTTTCTATTAAAATCAACTTTCGATAGAATCGCTCACATTTTTCGTGAATTTTATATTTTCTTTTTGGTAAGGGAGCTTGTTTTTCTTTCACTAAAGGAAATGATCTAATTAAAAATGAGTCAGTAAAAACAAAACTGTTTAAATTGGACTAAAACACATGCTCTAGAAATTAAGCCAATAAAACCCTATCAGATAAAAACTGCGGTTTCAAAAAAAAGGGAATCGAACCGGCAGAGTTCAAGACAACTACGGACCAGAAAATTTTTTTTGAAAATTAATTACAACCTGAAACGGGCTTTACACCTAGTTACTACTTAAACTATAGTAGTTTTGTTTCATTTTTCAAGAAATTGAGGAAGATGAAGGAGTTCAGGAGATGAAATGAGTCCTGTAAACAAAGTTATTTACGGGGGAAAAGTCTAGTACCGACCCTTGCTTATCGCAAGGGTAAAAAAAAACAAGCCATAAAATTCTTGAGTTTTCCCTGGAAATAAAAAAATTGAGATTAAATTATTCAGCTGCCTTCAATCCTGGCAGCTTATTAAATAGTTTCAGGTTAAATGATTTGCGGGGTAGCCGTGGTGACCCCTTTTTCATGGTTGTGATTATTGGAGCGAGCTCATTACATCTGGCACTTGAAGATTGGGCATCAGTAGGAGGAAACGAGGAACTGCAAGAAGACGTCATCCATTACAAGGGAGTAACGTTTCATCCCAAATCGAAATCGAATAAAATCGTACGAAACATCTTGAGAGACGAAATTAACAGAAACGAGTCTGTAATTATCTGGCACGACGTAATAAACAATTCGATTTCAAAACATCCATTCAATCTAAGGACTCCCCTTACTGCCAATCAACTAGTATCAGAAATCAAACCCCTAATCAATTCGCATCCTCGAATTGAAGGCCTTGTCTATTGTCAGAGAGACGGTGCACCCTATATTCTTGAAGATCTAAAGAAACTTCCGATACCAGTTGTTCAAGTTACAACAGACATAATTTCGAATTCGAAACAACATGACAAAGATCTACTTGAAGGATACAGAGAACTGCATCCGGAAACCGCACTTGAAATCAAAACTTTAGCTATAATACGAAACAACAAAAGCAACTTGAGTGATATCATAAAGAAGAAAAAGAAACCGTCAAAAAACAACGAGAAGCACGAAGGAAACGAGAACAGAAATAAATTGTGAGTTTAAATTTCAATTCGTGACGGGACTGGGCTTAATTGTCCAGGCTTGGATCAAATTTAAATTTCAATTCGTGACGGGACTGGGCTTAATTGTCCAGGCTTGGATCAAATTTAAATTTCAATTCGTGACGGGACTGGGCTTAATTGTCCAGGCTTGGATCAAATTGTAAATAAATTTTCTCTATCCCATTATCTCCTTCTATCTGTATCCACCAATATGACTAAAAATTGCAAAACGTGCAAAAAACCCATAAATGCCAGGGACAGATGTTTCAGTTGTGTATCATGCAATGCTCAAATGCATCTTGAGAGCACCTGCACTGGTCTTACTAACACCGCCATCAATGGCATAAAAGACTTGGGTTTAAACGCAATGCTTCTATGCGACACATGTGTAACTAATAACGAAAGAGATAACTTCATAAAGTGTAGGACCATGATGCAAATGAACGAGAAAATTGAAAAAGAGAGTGAGGGAATACAAGCACGTCTTGAAAATATGGAAAAAAAGGCTGACGGCATTGGTTGATGAAAAAGTCGAAAACGCTACAAAAACCACATGCGAAAAACTGGAAAAAAGCTATGCAGATGTACTCAGTGTGAAACCTGTTAAAGATGTGAAAGCTCAACCAGGAGCTGGAAAAGAAGTAAAACAAGAAATACATCATAATATCAATAAAAGCTTCCGTATACAGGGGATCAGAGAAGATCCCGAGAAATCAAAAGGCGAAAATTTTGTCCCCACAACCGAAAAAGTACATGAGGTACTAAAAAAGTTAGGAGTTAAACCACAAATTGAAGAAATAAAAAGGCTAGGGAAATTCTGCAAAGAGCGCATCAAGTCAAGAACCTTATTAATAACTCTGTCAACGGAACATGAAGCACGATTGGTGCTGGCAAAGAGCTTCGAAAAAAGAGATGAGCTGCGAGATGAGGAAATTTACCTTCTGCCAGCATTATCGAAAGAAGATGCGAGGAAGGAAAACCTATGCTTAAAAAGACGAAGAGAACTTCTAGACGAAGGAGTCCCAAAGGAGAAAATCAAAATCAGGAATTTCGAGCTGTTCAATGATGGGAAAAAAGAGACGATAGAAGCAGAACAAGCAGATGATGCTTGACTAGGCTTTCTCAACATCCTGCAAATGAATGTAAGAAGTCTCATAAATCTCGAACGACGAATGAAGTGTGCAAATGCTATAGCAACATCAAACTATGACATAATATGTCTCTGCGAGACTTGGTTAAATGAAAACATTGCATCATCTGAATTAATGCTAAATGAATACAGTATTTATAGATCAGAACGACAAACAGCCAAAGATCAAAATTTGCATGGTGGAGTACTAATAGCAGTGAAACAAACACTTTCATCTAAATTATTGCCAAATAAGCAACCTGAATGTTGTTTAACTTGCAGCATCCAAATAAACGATAAGCGAATTATTGTCTGCTGTTTTTACAATCCACCTTCGAGCAGCAAATATCGCTATTGTCTAGGCGATTTCGCACAAATATTAAATGAAATCGAGAAATCAAATCAATCAACTGCAACAATTATTTGCGGAGATGTAAATTTTCCAAATGCAAACTGGATTGACTATAGTAGCAAGGAAAATGAAGAAAACTCAATAATTGAACTAATCGAGCAACATCAGTTCGAGCAGGCAATAGATTTTCCAACTTGTGGAAAAAACACCCTAGACATTACATTATTCAAAAATTGTCACATTCATGCGACTCCTGACGAAAATTTCTCAAAAATTTACAATTGCTCCGACCACAAAGCAATCAGCATTCTAATTGAATGTCCTCACCATGAGGTAAAAGTCGCTATTGAAAACTTTGGAAGCTTCGGTAGCGTGGACTATAACGTAATCAAGAAATCAATACTAAGTGAGCCTTTCTCACCAGTATGTCACACAAACATCAACAGAATGTGCGAGGAACTTTACGACTATTTGGAAAATATGGTAAACCAACATGTGCCTAGAAGAACGAGACGTCGCCAATCACTTCCGCCATGGGTTACGCCAAGTACCTCAAACCTCATGAACAAACTGCGAACACAAACTAGAATATACAAATTGAAACCTACAAGCTACCGCAGAAATCTCATTCTATCTCTAAATAAAATGGTGGAAGAAGCAGTAGAGGAAGATAGAGTAAACTATCAGGAAAATTTGATGTCCACTCGTAACACACATTTAATTTTCAAACACTTTAAGAGTCTGAAAAAATCAGAAACTCTCCCAAAGACTATGATCAAGGACGAAATAGCTGTTACTAAAGCCAAAGAAAAAGTGAACTTTTTGAATGAATATTTTCACTCTGTCTTTTCGCCCAAATCAAGCTTCAACCTCAGTGATATGAAGTGCGAAAACACGATATTGAGTAACTTCAGTATCTCAAAAACATATTTGAACCAAATTATAACAGAGCTGGACATAACAAAATCGCGGGGCCCAGATGGATTCCCACCAATTTTCTTCCAGCGAACGGCCAGAGAAATGACCACAGTTTTGCATTGCGTTTTTAAAAACATCAAGAGGGTAAGGAAAATACCAGATAAATGGAAAGTTGCGGCTGTGTCGCCTATTTACAAGAAAGGTGACAAACGACTAATGGAAAACTACCGGCCGGTGTCACTCCTAAATATCATGAGTAAACTCCTGGAAAAATGCATGTATCCAGCGTTGTATGACCATTTCATTAAATTTCTCACAAGAAGTCAGCACGGTTTTGTTAAAAACCGTTCAGTTGTTACAAACATGTTATCTTTCTTGAAAGAAATCTACGAAGCTATTGACAAGAACGCTGAAAACCATGTGATCGCATTCTATACCGACTTCTCTAAGGCATTCGACAAAGTCCCACATTATGAACTACTAAAGAAAATGAGCAACATTGGAGTTGGAGGCTGTTTCCTTGAAATAATCGCAGACTATCTCAGCAACAGGAAACAATTTGTTCGTGCCGACAATTTCTCATCAGAAACTTTAGAAATTACGAGTGGCGTACCACAAGGATCGTTGATTGGTCCATTATTTTTCTGTATCTTCATAAATGATCTTCCTGAAGTATTGAAATTTAGTGACCCATTTATCTTTGCAGACGACCTAAAATTACTAGCAGTGAATGTAGACACAAAGGACATCCAGCAGGACCTAAAAAGCGTTGAAAACTGGGTAGACAAAAACAAGATGAGTCTGGCACTGGACAAATGTTTTAAAGTCGAATTTAGAGGAAATCAACACGAATTCATTCTTTGTGAAACAGCAGTGGAAAGCTCGAATGTGATAAAGGATCTAGGAATACATGTGTCCAAACATCTAACATGGACAACCCATATTGACTCAAGAATGTCGAAAGCGAATAAAACGTTCTATTGCATCCGCAGAAACTTAGAATTCAAAGTCAAAATGCGCATAAAACTTGGTCTGTACAAATCCTTAATACTTCCTGTTCTAACGTATGGTCTAATTATTTGCAATATCTCGAGAAGCGACTTA